CAAAGAAGAAAGGATATATAATCGCTTCTCGGCCTTTTGGCTAAGATCAAGTGAAGAAGAAAGGATATAAAAGCAGTTGCTAGGTGGCTCCTAAGAACCTGCGCGAATGTCAGCAGGATGGATCCAGATCCTGGGCCAGCAAGGGCATCCACTGCCCACCTGGAGGGCCAATCGCATCCCAGCTCCTCCCCTCAGGACCTCACCTGTGCACAAATTCATGTACCAGGCCTCTAGTATTATTAAATTTTATAGGTAAGAAAAGAGACTAAGAGAGGTTAAGAAACTTTTCCAAGTTCATGAGATTAGTAAGTAACAGAACTTGATTTGAACTTATATTTGACAGACTTCAAAGCCTTTACTCTTAACCACATAGTATAACTAAATCATGTCTAATAAACACTACATCAGACATATTTTAAAATACACACACACACACACACACACACACACACACACACACACAGAATAAACATGTACCAAGGGATTAATAGATATTACTTTAGGTGATTATTTTCCTTGCGTATATATAGTTTTCTATTTTTTAGTGTTCTATATTATGTATGCATTACTTGTAAACTCAAAACAAAGTGGTAGAGAAAAGAAATAAATAAACTTTGACTTTGGGGCTCATAAAAAAGACATAGACTAAGATATAAATGTGAAGGTTTTCAGCATATAGTTTGGGATAGAACTAATGACTGTAGATAAGATTACTCAGAAAGAACATGAGGAATATGTCCAGAATTCTGAACAGCAACATTTAAGACGGAGGTAGAAGAAGGGGAATTAGAGTAGTGACTCCTCTCCCTAGGAACAGAAACACTTTCTGTGGCTTGGAAAATTCCTCTAAAGAAATCACATGCAACATTACTAACAATTCCATGTCCTTTGTATGAAAACATGTAACTCTTCAGTGAGAGGAACAAATATGCTGATAAACTGCACTGTGTACCTTACTGCAATATATTAGGACAATAAAAATGGGTAACAAAAACCTATAGATTTTCTGAGCCCAAATAAAAGTCATTGAATAAAGTATACAGAAATTTGTGTGTTGCCCCCAGAATCCTTATAGGGATTTTTTAGTCTAAGGTTTGACCGTATTATAATCATTGCCTCACTTCCTTCAGCAAAGGTAAAACTAGATCCTTATAAATTCTTAATCCTTAAAAAGTGTATAACAAACATATCTTCATTAAAGTTTTACAAAGCCATCACCCCAACAAATTCAATAATTTTTAACTCAACATTTTAAAAAAGTTTTTGAAGCCAACTTATGAAAACTGTTATAAAAGGACTTATCCTCAATGACTGGTCATCATCAAACTTAATATGTATTGATTTATCATTTACTATGTGCTTAGGTTTAAAGAATAATTACAGACTTTTAAAACTAATAAGAAAGTTTGGATCTTCCAATTCTTAAATTTTACAGATAATGACAGTGTTTAACAAATAGTAAAGGCTCAATATTGTAAAATATCAAATGACCTCTTTCAAAATCCTGCATTCCCTTGACATCATATGCTATTAAGGAGAGATTACATATTACTTTGGTAAGAAAAAATTCTGAGCTTATTCCTAGAATCTGTAACAAATTTCATTAATCTATTTTACAATTTTAATAACTATCACTTAATATTCACTTACTTAAATATAAGAGGTGACTTTGGGAAACCAAACTACCTAAACAATTTGACCAAATAAAATGATTAGTAACAAATAATTGCTGATAAATGTAATAACTTCTACACATTACTATTATATTTTTAATATTTTCATTGACTTTTGAGAGAGGAAGGGAAAGAGAGAAACATCGATCAGTTGCCTTCTGCATGACCCCTACCAAGGATCCAGCCTGCAACCCAGGCATGTGCCCTGATCTGAAATGAAACCAGTAACATTTCAGTGCATCAGATGATGCCCAACCAACTGAGCCACATCAGCTAGGACTACAAATTTTTAATGAACATCTATTATGCACAAAATCCTATGTAATATACAATATAAAATAAATGTAGATTAGATACGGTTCTCTAAAAAAGCTCCATGCATATATGCATAACCCATGGACACAGACAATAATGTGGTGAAGGCCTGGGGAGGGGATGAGAGTAGGGTGGAGGGGTGAATAGGAGAAAGGGGGGGCACTGTTAACACTTTCAACAATAAAGTTAAAGAAAAAAGCTCTCTTAATGATGTTGTAAGGAAAGACACATTCAAATTACTTCAATGCAGAACTGAGTGTGATAAAAAATCATTGCAAGGGTAAAACAGCTCAGAGACAAAGGAGACCTTCCTAGTAATCTATGGATTGATAGTGGAAGGCTTTAGTTTAGGCAGGACATGAAATTTTATCTGGGTCTTAAAAAACAGGTGGAATTTCAATAGTCAGAGGAAAGAAAGGGCAATCTGGATGACATTATTAGATTAATAAATTTAAAAGATCACTGACTAGAGCGTGAAGAATCTGGTTGAACGTCAAATATTGTCAAATTTATCCTTAAATATTTCATTACTCCATTCTCCCCGATCCACTGCTATTACCATTGTTCAGACTCTCCTCATTTCTTATTTTTACAACAGTAGCAACATAACAAGCAGGGATCCAGGTATCACCATTCATGGCTACATCCCTAATACATTGGATGGTAAGTGATATAAATATTCGTTTAAGGGCTGAAAATCTGATTACATTGTGTTTCGAATTCTTTTTCCTGTATTCCAAATACAAGAGAATATTTTATGCTGTGTTTTATTTGTCAAATAATACTTTTAGAAAACTTGAACACAGATCTTTATAGATTCTGATAGAAATCCTTACTTAATAGAGCTAGGAACATCACAAAACACCATCACAACACCAAATGGGTTACTTTTACCACAATGCGCCCATCCCAGACATTACTATAACGTATGCAGAAGGATGCTGCTCAGATCAAGATGCTCCTTGCAGCAAAGCAAGCCACATATAGCTGATCTCTCTCTGTACCTCATAAATCACTGGAATAGAACTTCAAATATAGTAAATATGATGAGTGATAGACTGCAAGATGAAAAACATCTAAGACTAATAAGAAGTTAATGCTATTCTGCAACCTTAAATTATCTTTCCACTTGCTTTATTAATTTTTCATAGCTATTTCCTTCTGTACATATATATTTGTTTTTTTCTCTGACCACACCAATAACTCCACCAAAATTCAAGCTCAATGAAAATAAAGTTTCGCCAAAACCAGTTTGGCTCAGTGGATAGAGTGTTGGCCTCCTGACTGAAAGGTCCCAGGTTCGATTCCGGTCAAGGGCATGTACCTTGGTTGTGGGCACATCCCCAGTAGGGGGTGTGCAAGAGGCAGCTGATCGATGATTCTCTTTCATCAATGTTTCTAACTCTCTATCCCTTTCTCTTCCTCTCTGTAAAAAAATCAATAAAATATATTTTTATAGCATACTTGAATTTGTTTCTTTTCATTATTTTATTGAGGTATAATTACATACACTAAAATAAACACAGTCCAGTTCAAAATGTAAAACAATTCTATCCTACCAGAAAATTCCCTTGTGCCCATTTCTAGTCCATATCCCTCCACTTATACTAAAAGAAACAAATTCAAGTATGCTATAACCATGTTAGTTACTAACTTGAATCTGTCCTACCATTTCATCTTCTGATCTTCCTATTCAACAGTGCTTGAACTCTGCATACTGAATTCTTCACTATGAATTCAACACCTCCCAATTATTATTGTCTTCTATATTTTCACTCAATATGCCCATACATTATCCCACTATGATTTTCTTGCTTTCTGGGTTTCTGAGCAAGTCTACCTTACAACCCCATGCCCAGATGAGATAACACATTTCAACAAATAGTCATTGTTCATATCATATTTGCCTAATGAGATTATTATGTGAAAATCCTAGTGTAGTATCTGACAAGCAATAATGATTTTATATACGTCCACTTCCTACTTCAACCTTTCCACTTATTTTATATTCTTTTAAGACACACCTATATTTAAAGTATCTTAAATGTCAAAAACACAATTATTATATTTTCAAAATAGTTAAAATCCCACATTTATATCTCAATACTTCCAGTGATATACCATGTGTTATTTGCGCCACCCTCCTTTTCTCTATTTCTCTCCCCTCCTACATACGCACAATAGACAATTAATTAATCTCAAAATAATCCTAAAATGTAGGTATTATTATTATCCCCATTTCATAAATAAGGAACTTAAGGCACAGAGCAATAAAGAAAATTCCCCAACGTTACACCATTACTGTGTCAAAACCATGATATAGACAATTCCATCACATTATTTCAAATGCTTCACCCAAACCATACAACTAAACTATCGAGAATAAGGGATAGTCTTCCATACCTACAAAGCAAAGGCTATGTATGTTCCTTTGACCCATGAATTTAAAACTCTAAAGTGTCAGAGGAAGCTCTGAAATTCTCATGATTCCCTATAAAAGTTTTGATTGGATATTTTTAAATTGTATTTTTCAATTACAGTTGACATCCAATATAATTTTATATTATTTTCAGGTGTTGAGCATAATGGTAAGACTCATTGGAAATTTAAATAACAGAAACTTACACACAATCATAGAGCAATACTATTTTTAAGATACTTGTTGAGACATCTTTTCTTATGCAATGGATACCAGTATTCATTCATTGATATGCTTTAAAACTAAAATTTCAATCAATAGCTCCACTAACTGAATTCTATATGTTCACAATTTATACTAATTATGATTTCTATGTATATTTTTTATTTGTTCATTAGTTCAGAACATATGATCACTAACACGCTCATCATTCACTTTCTTTATCAATCATTTTTATTCATTCATATAGAAAATACTTTTATTTCATTTCAGATATCCAATAAATACTTATTGAGTAGCAACTATGTTAGATATACCAATGGGCAGGAAAGACATTATGTAACTCATAAGGTAAATTTTTTCCATAAATATACCTGTTACGGAGAACTGCAGCAACTGATTCCCCTAGATGCAGTTGATCCATCACCTCCACAAGCTGTATAAGAATCTGTTCAAGGGGGAGAAAAGTCAATATTTACTATGAAAATCAATACTAGAAACTTCAAATTGTGCTACTTTTGTAGTATTTTAAATATTTTGTGACAGAAATGCAAAATTATATCCATGTACCTAATGTCCATATGATAACTTAGAAAATAAAAGAAATTAAAAAACTCAATCTGCAATAGTCAAAATATCTACAAAATGCCATACTGAATCATTAAATAGTATTGACAAAAGTTCACGTGAAATCATTAGCTAGCAATTACCCATGGAAAAACAGAGTATACAGAAGTTGGATTAAATGAAAGTCAGAAGAACTGAGGAGTCTGTGTGAAGTTGGGTTAGACAAAAGAAGTTAAAGCAAAGGGTTGAGGCAAACATATGCCAAGTAGACACTGAAAGGACTAATTTCCATTTTACCAGGGAAACCAAAGGCCTGAGAAGCCCATAAGCAGAGCCCACAATTTTAGAAGTAATTAGTCAAAATTAAGGCTAGAAAGGTATAATATTTTAAGTCTAAAGACATAAAATAGGTAGTGAGGGTAAAAGCATTGATTTCCTGATCTGCTCTAAATTTTTGTTTTGGTCAAGCCTGTTGATTTTTTTTTATGGGAAAGGAGGAGGTTGTTTGTAGTAAACTGAACTTTATCTAATTAATATACTGTTTTTTAGTAATGTGAATGCTTTGTGTTGATATGTAGAGTATATATGATGTATTTTATTAATTTCAAATACATTGGGAAGCAAAAACATATTTTTAATTAAGGACATACAGATGACCAATAGACATATGAAAGAATGCTCAATGTCACTAATTATCAATGTTGGTGAGAATGTGGAAAAAAAGGAACCCTTTTGCATTGTAGCTGGGAGTGCAAACTGGTGCAGCCACTATGGAAGATAATATGGAGTTTCCTCAAGAAATTAAAAATGGAACTGCCATTTGATCTAGTGAACCCACTTCCAGGAATATATCCTAAGAATCCTGAAACACCAATCAGAAAGAATATATGCACCTCTATGTTCATAGTAACAGTATTCACAATAGCTAAGATAAGTAAACACCCAGGTGGTCCATCAACAGTTGAGAGGATTAAAAAACTATGGTACATATACACAATAGAATACTTTGTGACTTTTAAAAAGAAGGAACAAAATGAATAGACCTGGTGACTATTATACTAAGCAAAACAAGTCAGCAGAGAAAGACAAATACCATATTATCTCACTAACATGTGGAATCTAAAGAGCAAAATAAACTGACAAAGTGGAACAGACTGGAAGGAGGCAAAAGGGTAGGGATGAGAATGACTGGGTAAGGAAGTTGAAGAGATTAGCTAGAGAACACTAGATTAGCTAGTATATACATATCCCATGGACATAGATAATACTGTGGTGAAAGCCAAGTAAGGAGGAGGCAAGGGTAAATGGAGGTGCACAAAGGGAAGGAAATGGGGGACATCTTCAATAATGTCAACATTAAAAATTTTAATTAAAAGTCACTTTATTGCCTTAGGAAAATGCAATTTGATTTGTTTATATAATTATGTTTGCTGTAAAATGATTTGAAGAATAAAATAATTAAGCTTGAGGGGGAAAAAATGTTGTCTTCATTGTTCCTTACCCTATTTCTGTCCCTTAATTTAGAGACAATAGCAAAAGAAGAATAAAACACTCTACTTCTTATGTCTTCATAACTCAAAAAAATGTAACAAATCAAATGGCAATATAACATTTATATTTATTTCATATTCCTATTCTATGCTTATAATCCTACCACAATTTTAAAAATTGAGCAGACTAAATAATTTCTTTTTTAATTTAAGCATTTCAAAATCAACTGACTTTGACTTACCTTTTCTAAAAATGCTCTAGTGTCAAAAGAATTGTAGGTATTGAGGAATTTTAATTTTGTTTAGGTTATGAATTTTTTAGAAGATGAGTCAAGAAAAAAAATCCAACTATATCAAGATTACTATTAGGGAGATAGGAAGATGGCTGCCAACGGAAAGGCAGGCTGCAAGATAGTGTGTGAGTGAGAGAAGAAAGGAGAGTGTGTGGACCTATGGGGAGTATATATTTGTGATTGAGGGACAGCTATATTCCAAGGGACTGTTGGGGTCTGCCAGACTGGTCTCCCCTGACGGGGCAGCCTCCACTGCTGCTGAAATCTCTCCTGGAGCAACCACCTCTGCCACAGAGATTGCGCTATCTTGAAGGGGAGAGTGGCTGTGATGGGAAACCTAGCCTTACCTTCAACCAGGAAGAATTGGATACCTCCCTGGACCCTACAACCACAACACCCAGGGACCAGCTGCAAATCCAAGAACATCGGGTCTCAAGCAGAGCGAATACGCGGACTCGGACAAGCTCTGCACCTTCTCACTGAAAGGTCAGATTTGGCCCAGAGAAAGGTGAGGTCTGCAATCCTGGCTGAAGGGAGAAATACATGCAGCAGAATCTAGAGGTTCAGAGAAAGTCAGTATCCCACAAAAATCCGCGGACATTGGGGCCAGTGTACTCTGCAAATGTGGAAGGAGATCCACAGGGCTGCTGGCAGAAGGCAACTCTAAAAATCAACCCACAGCTAGGCTGGGCACAAAAGGAAGCCTGACGCTTTACCCATAAAACAGCTGTGCTGTGGCAGGAGAAAAAGAAGTGCACAGATACATGAGCAGAGTTGCACACATTTGCTGGGGCAAAACAGTCTCCAGATCACACACTTACTCTGGCTCTTTTTTTCTCTTTAAATCTTGTTTTTGATTACTAAGTCCAGTATATAGGATCAACCAATTAAAAACACTCTCAGAGACTGCAGGGGAAAGTTTTTTTTGTAGAACCTGGGGATCAGAGCAGGGAGAAACGATCAGAAAACCAGCTCTGGAGCAGTCCATACCTGCAAACCAGTATTACTTGAAGCAGAGAAAATATATTCTAAAAACTGGGTAGAGAGGACTTACAGCCTTGAATGTCAATACGGAAACACTGCCACCCAGAGGTTGAATCACAAACTCTTATGTAAACACAACCACAGGCAGGCTGAGTAACAAAGAAATACTGCGTGTTTGAAAACAAGATTGTGGCATATCACACAGAGGAACTGTGGAACTCAGGGAACTTCAATACTGTCCTCACTACCTGACAGGAAACAGGTGTGCAAAACAGAACAGTAGAGGAAGTGAATGAACTTCACTACTGCACATTTTTATTTTTTACTTAAGAAACTATTTTTTTTTTCTCACTGGATTTTATCTTTTTAATTATATTTTTATTTTTAATTAATATTATTCCTACTACTATTTTACCTTTTTTAAAAGTTTCATTTTATTTTGCCTTTATTTTATTTTGAGATTAGTGTTCTACATTGTATTTTCATTTTTCCTTTAGCATCATTTTACTCTATCTCAACTTTACCTTTACACCAACATTCACTTCCCCAATTTTCCACTTTTGTTGTCCTATTTCTCTTACTCTATTCCTGATTTAGATTGGACCTATTCCTTTTTAGCTCCTGTTAAAAATTCATCCTATTTATATATGGAATTTCCAATCCCTTGCTATAAGTCGATAACACTTCTCTCTTCTCTTTCTGCACTATCCAAATACTTTTCTCCCCCCCCCCCCTTGTGTGTGTGTGTGTGTGTGTGTGCGCACGCACACATGTGGTTTTTAAAAATTTGTTTTTTTTTAATTTTGTTTTGTTTTGCCCTTCTTTCTCTCTGTTCTATTATTGTTGTTAGTTTGATTATTGATTAGATTGGTTTTTTGTTTGTTTTTGTGTGTGTGTGATTCTCTCTCTTTTTTTGCTTCTGTTTTTCCTTTCCTTGCTTGTTATTAGTTGTTGTCTGTAGTTTGCATTCATATCTGGGTGTCAGTTGTTCACATTTTTTTCTTAGTTGTTCTATTAGAGTTTTCTGCCCATATAAATAGTTTCTTCCCCTCCTTTTTATTCTCTTTCTTTTCTCACTTACTTTTCTTTCCTTTTCTCAAAATCATTTTGCACTCTTTTTTATCCCCTAATTCTCTTTTCTCTGGTGGTCACCCTTATTTGGGGTTATTAGTATCATGAACACATTTGTGTTCAGTGCCTTGTGTGTAGTGCCTTATTGTGTTGCATTTTGTGCCTTTAAATCAACACAGGAGAGACAGAGACAGAGCTACATAACCAGACACCTGGAAAGGAGAGATCATGGGGAAACAAAGAAACAGCTATCATACAAAAGAAAAAGAGGCATCAACAGAGAAGGAAGTAAACGAAATAGAGGCAAGCAATATGTCAGGGAAAGAATTCAGAGAAATGGTCATAAGATCGCTGAAAAGGTTGGAAGACAAATTCAATATGTGGAAGAACCAATAGGAAATGAATAAGAACCAAGAAGAAATGAAAAATCACATTGCTGCCATAAAGAACTCAATATAAAGTCTCAACAGTAGACCAGAAGAAGCAGAGGACCACATCAGTGAGCTAGAAGACAAGATAGAAATAAATACCCAAGCAGAGCAGAATCTAGAAAAAAAAAAAAAAAAAAAAAAAAAAAAGCTTAAAAAACAAGAGGAGAGCCTAAGGGAACTTTGGGACAATACCAAACAAAACAACATTCATATAGTAAGGGTGCCAGAAGGAGAAGAAACAGAGCAAGGAATAGGAAACCTGTTTGAAGGAATAATGACAGAAAACTTCCCTGATATAGAGAAGAAAAAACTCACACAAGTCCAAGAAGCTCACAGAGTGCCAAACAAATTGAACCCCAAAAGACCAATGCCGAAGCACATTATAATTAAATTGGCAAACACCAACGACAAAGTAAGAATCATAAAAGCAGCCAGAGAGAGACAGAAAGTTACCTACAAAGGATCCCCCATCACCTAGTGACTGATTTCTCAACAGAAACACATCAGGCCAGAAGGGAATGCAATGAAATATACAAAATCATGTAAAGGAAGGGACTGAATCCAAAAATACTGTACCTAGCAAGGCTA